ATTGTCTGAATCTCATTGGCTTTGGCTTTTCTTTTCAGTATGTCGTTGTGCATTAAATTGCTAACTTTTTTTCGTTTCTGATTATGCAGTGTTGTCTTTCACTTTCTGAATGGGTGCGATTTGTTTGGTTTCTTTTGATGTTTGTTTTCAACATATATTCATGATACTAACGAATCTGATTGTCTTATGCAATGAATTGAATGTATATTTCCTTTTCAGTAGTTGATATCATTTCATTTATATGCAGTATCAAGCTGATGAAACCGTCACTCTGTGGGTGAACAAGGTTGGTCCATATAATAATCCCCAGGAAACTTACAATTATTACAGCCTTCCGTTTTGCCACCCACCTGGTAACCCTGCTCACAAATGGGGTGGGCTCGGTGAGGTTCTTGGAGGGAATGAGCTCATCGATAGCCAGATCGAGATAAAATATAAGAGTAATGTGACGTTTCTGCATATGTTCACTGTGCTTTTTCTGGTCTCTTGCAACTGTGTTCATTATATGTGGTTATCTATTTTGCAGGAGATGTGGAGAAGGCTCCGATTTGTGAAATCGAGCTTGATGCAGCAAAAGCAAAGCAGTTTAACGATGCGATTGATAATTCGTACTGGTTTGAATTTTTTATGGGTATGTTAGAAAAGGTTTTTGCACTTACGAAGTGCTTACTAAGCTTACTATATATAAATATGTATCCGTAAAAGTTAATATACATATTCATTACCTCCTCGTTCTTCTCTAACCTGTCTTCTTGTGTACCCTTGTTTGTTGCTTGTGTTGTGATCAGACGACCTGCCGTTGTGGGGTATGTATCCGACTTTTATTACTTTATTTTAGTGTTTTGCTTTGTTGAAGTTGAACTCTGATTCAATTGTGAATCCTTTGCAAAGGTTTTGTTGGTGAGGTTCTTCCTGATAGAAACCGTGATAATAAGCATGTGCTATGGACACACAAGAATCTTGTCATCAACTACAATGGGAACCAGGTTGGCTCGAACACAAAATATATACATACTAAGTCATTCCTCCAACCAGATGTAAGAGGATTGTTCATTTTGAACTGATTAAATATGCACTTGCAGATTATTCATGTCAATCTCACTCAAGATAATCCTAAGCCACTTGAAGAGGGGCGAGTACTGGAAATGACTTACTCCGTCAAATGGGTTCCAACTAATGTTACATTTGCGCGCCGGTTTGATGTTTATCTGGATTACCCATTTTTTGAGCACCAGGTACGTTTCCCTTAATGCTGCCAAGTTTTGAGGTGAATATGCTGTCAGCTGGTTTGGACAACATGAGTGTTTCCTTAAAATTTGATTCTTATCCTAGTCAAACTTTTTGTCGCTGGCAATGGATGGATGCCAGTCTTAAGGCTTATATGGAGAAGTAATTGCCAAAATTTTGTTTGCAGTTATTATTCCCAGCGAGCTCATCCAAGCAATTTCTTTTTGCAGATCCACTGGTTTTCTGTCTTTAATTCTTTCATGATGGTAATTTTCCTAACTGGGTTGGTGTCAATGATATTAATGCGGACACTTCGCAATGACTACGCAAAATATGCTAGGGAAGATGATGATCTTGAGACTCTGGTAATGATTCTGAATTTTCTCGTCTTTAAATTCACAATTACACTTCTGTTTGTTTATTGCGTATTGGAATTTTGCTTATTTGAACTTCATTGTTAGGAACGGGATGTAAGTGAGGAATCTGGTTGGAAACTTGTACATGGGGATGTGTTTAGACCTCCCCAAAATCTGGCTCTGCTATCAGCTGTTGTCGGTACTGGTGCTCAGCTGGCCACCCTTGTTCTGCTCGTCATCATTTTAGCAATTGTTGGAATGCTTTACATTGGGTATGGTAGAAACACTCGTGTTTTTCATTGTAGTCTGCAAATTTAGTTTTAGCATTATGCTCATTGATCACCTCAGACAGAAGGCATTCGTTTGTTGTCACATATGAGTTTCTCATTAACCTTACATGTAACCAAAATAGTATTTATAGTCATAGAACTTTTTGTGGTGGTATATATTTCTGGTTCTCGGAAAGTAGGTTGGGATCCAAGGTAGTGCAGCTTCCCTTTTTATTTTGAACATTGCAAGCTGTCCAGCCAATCTTCATTTTTTTTTGACCAAAACAATACATATTTAAAAATCAAGAAAATGAAATATAGTGAAACATGAGAACATAAAGGATTTCTTCGGCTGCGTCCGCAATGTTATAAAGTTTTCTTTACATTTGACTTTGCTCATTAGTTTCCTGTGGTTTATTTGCTACTTGGATATGACATTTACTCCATAAGAACTTCAAGCTAGAATTTGCCTATATTGTTTAGAGTAGCCGACCTTCCTGTAGGTGGTTCCTTTATTGAAATTCAAAATATACCCGGTCTCTGCGAGTTAACCTCTACAACTATGGGTACCTTTATCTTGACTTTTCATCAGTTTCTGGTCTCATAAATCTTGGGAAACTTTTTTGTTATTTTTGTCCCTCTTTATTGCATTTCTAATATAATGCAAACATTTGAAGCATGGTGACAAATTTATGGTTTTGCCACTCTGATGGAGACTTGGAGTATTATTTTCTCCACATACATATCTAACTTAATAGTTACATAACTTTTACCTGGTTTCATTTCATTTGATTCAGGAGAGGTGCAATTGTCACCACCTTCATAATCTGCTATGCTTTTACCTCATTTATTGCTGGTTATGTAAGCGGTGGCATGTATTCCCGCAATGGTGGTACGTACCATTGCTAGCTAGTTTTTACTCGTTCAGTCTTTTATCCTATGAGGCTATGACAACGTGCTGTTGTGTGCATTCAGTTACGAATCTTCTAAGTGGTTTTAACTTCTGTCATTCTTGTTAGGTAAGAAATGGATCAAGTCGATGATCCTCACAGCATCACTTTTCCCATTCTTGTGCTTTGGCATCGGCTTCATCCTTAACACGGTTGCAATATTCTACGGTTCTCTGGCTGCCATCCCTTTCGGTACCATGGTGGTTGTTTTTGTCATATGGGCATTTATTTCCTTCCCCTTAGCTCTTCTTGGCACTGTTGTCGGAAGAAACTGGAGTGGCGCCCCAAACAATCCTTGCCGAGTAAAGACTATCCCTCGTCCCATTCCCGAGAAGAAATGGTACCTGACACCATCCATTATATCTCTCATGGGGGGTTTGCTTCCTTTTGGAAGCATTTTTATCGAGATGTATTTTGTCTTCACCTCTTTCTGGAATTACAAGGTAATTAAATTTCGACTTATGGTCTCAAACTGTTGTAAATTACAAGATGTATAATATTAATATCCTTTTTGTTTTCTTTCTCTGTTCTTATGCTTTTGCCTGAGCCATTTCAAAATGTGCATCGAAAATCATTACATGCTGAATCATAATTTTCTCTTGTCGATAGGTTTACTATGTGTACGGCTTCATGCTTCTCGTGTTTGTAATCCTGATAATCGTCACTGTTTGCGTTACAATTGTGGGGACTTACTTCCTGCTGAATGCTGAGAATTACCACTGGCAATGGACTTCTTTCTTCTCCGCTGCCTCGACTGCTCTCTATGTATACTTCTATTCAGTATATTACTACCACGTGAAGACCAAAATGTCGGGCTTCTTCCAGACGAGCTTCTATTTTGGATACACTCTGATGTTCTGTCTTGGTCTTGGAATACTATGTGGTAAGTCTGCTTTGCACTTGCCGCAACTTACAGTAAAAAGAAAGTATTTTGCGACCAATTATTAATTTTTGTGCAATTTGCTTTACTTTTTGCTACAAACTTGCAGGTGCTGTTGGATTTTTGGGCTCCAACTTGTTTGTCAGGAGAATTTACAGGAACATCAAGTGTGACTAAAATTCTATGATATATTATATACAGGAGTAATTTGTTCGATTGTTGCAGCGTGTAAGTTAATGTTGATGGGGGAGACAAGGAAAGTGAGTTGGAGAAAAGTTGAATCTTTTTGTAGCGGTGGATTAATTGATGTTACAGCTTTTGGCTTTAGAGACTTGGGATATTGTGAACAGAAAAGAACTCTGTTTTGAACACCCCCATTTACATCAATATTTGTAGTTGTAAATCGCATGCCTTGTAGGGGCATTTGTTACTTGATGATTCGGTTTTCATGAACTTCGACTTTGGTTATAGATGATTTTTCATTCGACTGAGTGCGAGCATAAGGAATAATACTTGTTGGCATTTGCTTGAAATGTGATATTTGCCACAATGCTTATCGTATGAAATACAAATTAGCTCGGTTATCTTTGTAATTGTTGATTGATATGTGGTTTGATTAGATAGGTTCGTGTGATTTGAAAAAGGAAGGATGACTTGAGTGTTTCTTCAAGTTCTGCAGGCTTCAACTCTTGCTCAGATTCAATTGGGTACATATGATCACATTTTCAACACAGTGGGTTTGCAGAATGGCTATTCTTAGCGTAACAATGTATTTTGTGTAATCACTAAAGTATCTCCACGTGAAAAATCAAAAGTACCCATAATTACATAAATGCCACCGCCTTTTTGATCAGTATTGGAGCCTTTGATCGACACTGGAGTGTTGATATATTACATCCAATCGTTTTTTGATCAGTATTGGAGCCTTTGATCGACACTGGAGTGTTGATATATTACATCCAATCGTTAAGATTCATTCTTATATCACTCATTCTTATTTGATTTCACTTTTATATATATTATATATATAGGTGTTTATATATATATTATGTGTGTGTGTGTTTGTTTCAATGACACAAGGATTTTGACAAAGTACATATAGATTTGATGAAGGAAAGGAATAAATGTAAAGTTAGATACCTGTAGTATAGTTGGAAGCTAAAATCACCAAAAGATTCTAATAACATTACATGCTCCCTTTTGTCCCTTTATGTGTTTGATCCACATTTTTGTACACATTTTCTTCATTTGCTGTGTTTTCCAGGCAATTAACCTGACCACCATTGTCGATCCATTCTCCTAACGACCACTCTCCAAAATGGGTCACGGATCCTCCAAAGTAGGACACAATATCCCTTATCCGGAGGTTGAAAACTTGGCCGACCCAGACGACACCAACTCATGGACATGCAGTGCTTGTCGCCTCCCAATATTCTCCACACCTTTCGTCGTAGATAAATCGGGGGGCAACAATCTCCTGCTTCACGATCAATGCTCCGACCAATCTCTCCCTCCCGAACTCTCGGGTCATACCCTGCACCTGAGGGGAGCCCTCATTCTCCGATACCACCTCCCGGAAGAAGATGACGATGCGAGATATTATTGCACTAGATGTTTGTCGATCTGCGGGAGCAAGTTTTACGATTGCCAGATGGGTGATGTCGTAGACTGTGAGGTCAGGCTCGACCTCCCGTGTGCCCTGTCGGTCACAGTCTTACACAGGAGCCATGAGCACAGGTTAACGGCTGTTAAGGAGCATGCGTGGCCTATGTCGTCTCACTCATTCGTCTGCAGCGCGTGCGGGAAACAACACGCGCCGGTTGAAGAGAGTAATGGCCGACGCCGATTCAAAGATGCGGTAAAGGCTTACGCGTGCACGAGCTGCGATTTCTGGATTCATCCCGACTGTGCGCTTCTTCCTAATGCCATCGCCGACACATCATGTCACGAGCACCCTCTTCTCCTTGGATTTTCTATTATAAGATTAAGTAGAAGCTGCAGGAATTGCACCCGCGAAATCCTGGCTTCCGGGTTCTACGCCTGTGTTGATTGTTGTTATTATGTTCATATCGACTGTGTTGTTAACTCAACACTTTTTAGATTCGAGTCACGTAATATATAAATTAGATATTTTTCTTAATTAGCACGTGCGCGCGGGCGCACACACACACATATATTATTAAACTTAACAGGAAGTTTAATGTTTTGCAGTGTTGGTTCGCGAAGCAGAGATCCCGAATCTACTTCGTCTGCCGATGGAAAACGAGCACGCTAGTGTGATGCCGCGCATTACGAAAACCAAGACACACGCGTACCCGTTGTTTCGTCTCAGCACTACTACGAGTCTCAGCGAATCGTTTTCGTTAGAAACTATCAGAGTGCACGAGCATCCCTTGATCTATCATCACGACGCTCACAATGACATTGTTCGTGTTTGCAATGCCTGTGCTCAAGTTATCCTTCCACCCGATCCATTTTACAGTTGCGCACATAATAATAATAATACGTGCAAAGATTTATTTCTGCACAGCTGTTGTTCCCGTTATACAAAAATCTTTTTGTCCTACCACAGAGGCTTCTGCTTGTTTATACCGAAGGTAGGCACGAAGGCCTTCAACGTATTCGAGTGTGTGGTTTGCAAGCGCAAATGCAATGGGTCCGCTTACTACATCGAAGCACAACAAAAGTATATGGATGTGGTGTGTGCGTTAATGCCTCATTCAATCACGCACGACGCGCACGGGAAGGCCCACATTCTTCAAGGGAGGTTGGAAATCCGCGAGTCCTACAAATATCTTATGAGATCAACGTGTAAATGCTGCCTTGAAAAGCTCAATGACAATACGGTGACTTCATATGCGTGCAGCAACTGTCGTAGCTTCTCCATCCACCCGCACTGCGCTCTTCTCCCGGACACGATCAGCCACAAATTTGACCGACACCCTTTGAAGCTAATCACAAGCTCGAGCAGAGGAGAAGAAGAAGAAGAAGAAGAAGAAGTAGAAGAAGAAGAAAAGAGGCTTTGCGAGATTTGCGAAAAGGAGATGGATTTGAGAAAATGGCACTACGGCTGCGAAGAATGTGAACAATATTTTCACGCGAATTGCATTCCTTGTCTCGACCATCTGTCAAATATTAAGTTCGGTTTTAAGGTTTCGGTCGGGTGCCATGAGTGTCCGGTTGCCTGCATTCGGGCTGTTTCGGTCGATGGATACCGGTGTGGCCATTGTGGGGAAAACATAAGGGAGAGTGATGATATAGCATTTGAATGCACCACATGTTATTTCAGGATGCATAAAGGGTGTGTCCGAGCTTATGATAAAAACTTGAGCAAGGAAAAAAACAATAAAACTTGGGACAGATGATGTCTTTATTATTATTATTATTATTATTATTATTATTATTATTATTATTATTATTATTATTATTATTATTATTATTATTATTATTATTATTATTATTGTGTTTTTTCATTGTTATATTAATGTTGTTCTTGTTTGTTCTTTTAGTTGTTTAAAGTTTTGTGAGATGAGAGTGATTTCTTTTCCGTTCTTCACATATTAATGCAAATACCCTTCAATGCTACCATATTTAATGAAATCATGATGAGTGAATCATCTATATCTATATCTATAAATATATAATTTGGAGAATCACATTTAATTTTATCACGTTGCATTAAATTTTATTCTCCTACCAAAATTTTCAACATCCAATTTCATTTTTAAGTTACAAAATAACTTGCTTGAATACCATAAATTATGAGCATAAATGAATCAAGGGAGTTACAATATTTAACTCAAATTTTAAGTCACACCACTCATGGAAATGACCGGATGTATTAGCATAAAGTAAATGGTAACGGCTCTTCCATAGCAATTACTTGATCAAAATCAATTTTGATAATCATTTTCTTTTTTCATATTTTTTTCATGAATTAAATTATGATATATTTTTGTTTTTTATATTGTTATCCTTTTTTAAGTATTCTTCTATGTGCAATTGCACAAGTTGATTACTATTACTACAAAAAAAACACTTACATTCCAACGAAAATTTTCCGTTGGAATTTTTTATCTTTCCGTTGGAATATATTCCTACGTATAAAAATCCGTTGGAAAAACGGTCGTTGGAATAACAAATATCCAACGGAAAATCCTAGGGAAACAAATTCCTACAGCTATTCCAACGGGAAAAAATCAAATGGAATTCCTCAACTACCCAACACTTATTCCAACATAAAATTAAGTTTGTTGGAATATTCATTGAAATTTTCAACGAAAATTTTTGCTGTTGGAATTTTTGTAGTGTATATCTATATCTATTTATATATAATTTGGAGCAACACAGCATATAATTTTATTATCCTGCATTTAATTATATTATCCCGCAAAAAGTTTCAGCATTTATTATCATTAGTTTTCATTTCTCGCCTAAAGCAATTATCATTTTTCTTATTTAATTTATTATTCTGCATTAAATTATATTATCCCCCTATGTGTCATGGGTTATGTTGTAATTACCATATCTCTTAATTACTCGGAAAGTTTAAAAAGTATATAATGACCCTTTTTCTATTTATATTGGTTAAATAATTTAGTTTTGTTTACCTGCTTAGCTGAAAATAATCTGATCTTGATGAACTTTTTTTCTTTTTTTTTGGTTATCTGGTTGGCCTCTTGAGTCGTGATTTTTTTTTTTTGTAATTGTACTTTCCTTTATTCCCCACAAAATTCAAGAATGATATTTTTTATTTATTTTTTTTATTGCTTTATTTTTTATTTTTTATTTTTTTAGTGCTTTCACCTCTGTTTGATCGCACATCCTTAAAATTAAAGTAAAATATTCAATAAACAGCATAAATGAATATTAAAACCTTATTATAATAAATTTCTTTGTGCTTTCTTAATTCTTATAGGATAAAATATATGACATGGCTCATATGTATGTGCAGATCGACTGTTGCAACCGAACAACATGTATATTCTTCATAAAACCATAAGAACATCATTAAATATAACAATATCCGTTCATTATTTGAAAAAAAAATATATATATATATACATATATATATATATATATGTTTTGAAGAAAAGACATCAAATTATGTAGATATTTTAATTTTTTTTGAAAGAAAACGGCAAAACATACACTAAAATAAGATTTTATATCTAATCTACTTCTGAAATCAACTGAAAACATGATTTTTTTTTTATAAAGAAATTATATATTACAGATCTCGATAGATCCGTACTATAATCGCCCGATTGAACCATTTTCTTGTGATTCATTGATGTATGTTAGCAAAATATGGACGACAAGAAAATATCAATTGACTTTTGAAATTAATTGAAAATATGGTTTTATAGAAAAAAAATCATAAATTCTTAACAAAGATTGCAGATCTTAGTAGATTCGTACTATAATCACCCGATTGAAACATTTTCTTATGATTCATTGAAGCATTTTAGCCAAATAGGGACGACAACCTTAAATCAAAACAAAAAAGTCCAGATCTTGATAAATATGTTATGTAATCGGACGATTTTCACTTTTTTACTATGATTTAGTAAACCGAGATTGTAAAATCAAAATGATTTTGATGTTATGTTTCGGTTTTGTTTGAAAGTTTTTATTTTTCGAAAAATTTAGAAGTTGATTGGAATATTTGACCGAAAAAACAAAGAAAATGACATGATTATCGACAAAAATTAATAAGAAAAATGAGATCTTGGATATTTTTGTATAGAAAATAACGCGCGTGATCCGCCGACATGATTTGGTAAACCCCCAAAAAAATAAGGTTTAAGTTGAACCCAATAGACTTATTGAGAATATCGGTCGAAGCTTCATTTATAATTTTTTAATAAAAAATTAAGCCTAATTCACCACATTTTTTTAATATTAACTCCAGCTCAATTCAACAATTGTTTATAATGTAATTAGGGTAAATTGCAGTTTTGATACCCAAACTAAAGTTCATTTCAG